CATCCATCCATCCATCCATCCATCCATCCATCCATCCATCCATCCATCCATCCATCCATCCATCCATCCATCCATCCATCCATCCATCCATCTGCTGTTCATTAGGAAGGTTTAGCATACGACACAATATGTGACACAGTGTTTGACTCCATCCTGTCATCCATGTGTCTGATTCAAACAGGAGCCCAGAGGACATGCTTAGAGATTCACTTTAATTAAGGATATTTCATTTAGCATCAAAGGGAGTGCTCGCCTCYTTCCACACGTCCTCCAATGTTCTCCTGATTTCATGCAGACATATGAGTCCATCACTTCCTGGATTCTCCAGTTGGTCTTACCCATCAGCCCTGTTCMCATGTCATTTTCCCTCTTCATCACCTGCTCTCTTAAGCTTAAGCTTCATGTCATTGCAGTGTATGTGTCTATTCTTCCTCCCGTCTATTTCCTCGCTTTCATTACCTTTTCTCCTTCTTTCTTTTTATATTTCCACAAACCCTTACCCCTGCCTTTAGTTATTTCTTCCTTCCTTCATCCTTCATCAGTGATGTTTCCACATCAAAAGACAACCATTATAYCACAAATCGTCTGTAGCAAGGCAATTGTAGTGGCTAGATGTGATGGATAATATCCAACAGAAAACCTGAGAAAGCACATGAGAATGTGTCCTTTTGTAGACGTTTGTGTGTGTGTTTGTGTTTGAATGAATGTGGATGTGTGTCTGTTTGTGAGAAAATGCATGTGTTTCTGCATGGCTGAGAATAAAGAGTAGGGTGACTTATACATGACTGGTGCCCAGCGTACAATTGAGTGAGAAAGAGGAGATGAGATGGAAGGCAGCTGGAGAGGAAGAAGGCAGAGGCACAAAAGGGAAAGGGAGGTTAGGGAAAATGGGTAAGGAAGAGATGAACAACAGATGGGAACAATAGTAGAGTTGGTGGACTAGTTGGACACATTAGAAAAAAGGAATACATGAGGTGAGGACTGACGGATTCAGAAAGATAGAATGACATAGGAGAAAAGACCYAATAAAGATCAAATTAAATGTTGGTCAGATAACAAGAGAGTAAAAGAGTGGTAAAGCGAGATTCTGACTCTAAAGGCAGGTAATTAAAAGTGTAATAAAAAGACGAGACAGCCCTTGGGTAGCAAAGTAGTTGGAGCTTGCAGTCATGATGAACTATGATAATACTCGCACACACACACATATACGTACTCACCAACTGGCTAAAATAGAAATATACGTAAGAAAACATGCATCAGCGCTCACACACAAAAGCATACTGTGGCACACATGCAAAAGCTAAAGGGCTGGAATTAAAAAGTGTTTTATCTGAACAAAACGGGGATTCTTCAGGGATTTAAGCTCAGCTCTCGCTGTGACACTGACAGATTGTGTGTTTCTACCGATTTGTGTGTGTGTGTGTGTGTGTGTGTAGCTATGCAGGTGAAGGGATAGAGAAAGAAAGACAGAAACTATGTATGTGTATTACCCAAGCTCAATTACATTGTTTTTTCTACTTCCACAGGGACACCAGTATAGTGACATGATCCCATTTTACCATTGTATAATTTAGCACAGGCAAAGTTCAACAATTAYTTTTAGTTTTGGTTAAAAAAAGTATTGGAAACTATACACTTTATTTTATGCACATTCACCAAAGCCTGGCAAATGTAACGATATTAAATATATGTTGCTTACAAAAAAATGTCATAGCAAGAAACAGATTGGTGATTGCACAGTACTGAGCCAATTTATATTGCCATTATGAGGCACCAGAAATGATATGCCGCAATTGCAAGATTAATACAGTCATGACAATTGTCACACAATCCACCAACCTGTGTCAGAACCAATGTGCTTTATTAGTCAAAAGGATGCCATCTGATACATAATTAACATAGATGTATTGTTATAAATAAAAAATATGCATCTCTACTTGACACAAAAAGCAAAATACACAAAAAAAAAAACAAAGCAACTGGCTGGATAAGCTCTGTTATATTTGCTTGATAAGCTCTGTTATCTAGCTTTGTGGAAAACTCAATACATACAATTTAACAATCTTTCAATATGTATTTTATTTTGAGCTAACATACTTATTATGTTAGGGCAATCAAATGTGTGCCTTTGTTTTTCTTTTCTTTTTGTTTTAATYTGAGTTTAACCAAGAACAACTTACTATTATTAGTAGAATGAAGTAGATGAAGTTGTAAAAAGAATGAGCATCCATCACATAATACATGATCTCCACCCAGCCTTCCAGAGTGATCACCTACAACCAAAAAGACAAATAACAGAAAACAAATAAGCAGAACCAGATATTTTTTTATGACTGAATTACACAAGATTAAAGGAATAGTTGGGCTTTTGTGAAACATTCTGTCTTTAAGTACACTAACAGTTAAATTTAAGGTTTCAGCCAATGGCCTTTTAGTTTTTTGTCAGCATTAAGTTGGAAATCAGTGAAAATGATGCCTTGTTCGGACTGAAGGTTCCACATGCTATTAAGCCATAAATGTGTTTTATTGTGTAACAGTGATGATTAATGTTCAGAAGATCTAWGTATTATTTACTTGGTTTATGGATAATTGGTCTAACTTTTATTGGTTGCCATAAGTTAAAAAACACACAAACAAAATAAAAATAGTAGGGCACATAATCTTGTGTAACTCTGTAGATTTTTTTATTTAAAATTTGCTCTCTATCTCTTTATATTTATTAGATGGTGTAAATTGTAAGAGACCAGCCAGTCTTTCACCCTAAACTTAAATTGAAATAGATAAGTTTTAAAATTTGGTTTTTATTTAATATCTAGACACTCATACTTAGCATCCTAACAACTTAATATCAGTAAAGATCTTAAAGCTAAATCTGGCCAGCTTGTAATACTCTTTTGTAGCTCCAAGTTAAACACTTGTTAGAAAGTMCAATATTGTTTATTCCACCTGAAGTGGTCCAAATCAAAATATTAAAAACAAAATATCATAAAGATTTTCGTTCAGATGCCTATTCCAGTCATTAATAAAACACAATTTCACTGTTCACTTTATAAAATATCTTATGTAGCAAAGTCTACTATTCTACTTTTTTTTGCGAGAAAAGACATACTTCCCTCAACTATTTTAGTTTCTCATGTCAACAGTTTTGTAGTTAGGTGTGTCTTTTGTTCAATATATACTCAGACAATTTGGTGTCCAATCAATCATCTTACTTTGTAAACATATTAATAAGCATTGTGACTGATAACTAATAATTTACTAAAGAGCGTAGGAATAAAAAAGGAAAATATTGACTGAATCCAAGGTTTTATTTAACTGTTCCAGGAAGACAAACTACAAAGTTTGTGGTCCTGAAGGCAGTTATGCAAAACAACAACAATAAATAAATAAATAAATAAATAAATAAATAAATAAATAAATAAATAAATAAATAAATAAATAAATAAATAAATAAATAACACTTTTTTATTTATGGAAATTTATATCTATTTTAAAAAAGTTACAATAGAGATGATAAGTAAAATACCAGAAACATTCAACAAATTGTATTCCTATATAAAACTTTGTATGAAAAATTATTTCTTAAGCTGCATAATTTTAACTCTTCTGTTAAAATTTACTGGCAAGATTTTGAATTGTGCAGTCTGCCTTTTTTAAATAATAATGGAGCTGATTAAACGCTACCAAAACAACAAGAACAAATATTGAATCTGCTCTATTTTCATAATGTTATTCACAGACATTTGTACATGAACTTGCAATGTGTATATTGATATAATACTACAGTTTCTGCAAAGCTCCTAATTCATTAAAGCTACATAAAATGTTTCATCAATTCTTTGAGCCCACTTGAACTTTGGAGGCTAAATTATGCCTTTTCACAAACGTTGAAATTTTGCTAATTTGTGGTGCTTCCCACTAAAAGATTACCCACCTGAAATATGACWATCCAAGCATAGGCAATGTTATCAAAGTTGATGGCACCTTTGTGCGGGTTACTGCTTCCTGTATTACATCTGGTGTAGTACTGATTCCAGTTGACACACAGACCGGCTACACTGATGCTGCCATTGGTCAGAGGTTCAGGGCTCAGTCCGAGTGACTGACGGTACAGGATGTCCTCCTTATCTAGGCAGCAGGCTCGTCCTCCTTCACGCCGGGCTGGGACATCCGAGCAGGACATGATGCCATTGTCCACAGGTAAGGAGCAGATGAAAGGCCTCTCATCATCCTCACTAGCCATGTAGTAAGGCCGAGGAAGGCTTACACCCGCAGTCCTGAAAGTGTTTAAATGACAGTGGCAAAAGTGAACAAATATTTAAAGTTAAATAAGTTTAATAATCAACACAGATGGTAAATATTACAACATTAATGCAAAAGAGAGTCACTTGTACAGCTCAGGGTTGCCATTTTATTTAATTTATGTATTTTTTTAAATAAAATTTTATGGGTTAGAGTTTTTTTTCTATTTCATGATCATTTTTCAGTATTCCAAATTAATTTCCACATGTTTCATTTTTTTAAACAAATTGTTAAATTTAAATTCTTGAACCTCCATGCGCTGCATTTCAGTTGAACTTGGAGGTCGGAATTTCAGACTTCCGAGTCGAAAAAATCTTTTGTAAAAGCCTCTAATGTTATAATTTCAAATTGGCAAATCAGTGCAAAACAACCACCTGCAAACACATGATGTCATCATTTCGACATGGCATCTCCTCGCATCAAGAGTGAAACTCTTACTTTGACCATTTTTAGCAGTTCTGTGTACTTTACTTTATATTTGGTCAGTCGTACTTGTAGTTCTTTACAATGATTATTAGGCGACATGTTTTAATTCTGTATGTACACTCAAAATGCTGCACAGAGCGCTGTTGTTGTAATTTTTACTGTTGCGTTACTCCATCAAAGCAAGACATAGACCTTTTTTTTCTGATGCTCAGACCAGCTGGAAACTGGAACAGTTTCAACTCAACTTCACAATTTTGAGTTTCGCTGCAATTGGAATGCCGCAAAAAACTACACGAAGAGTTGAGTTTGTATGCATTAAGGAGGAAACTTGTGTTAGGGCATTACTTGGATATAAGAGAATCAAAKCACTTGTTTTCATGTCATTTTCTACAGCAGCAATGGGATGTGAGATTGAAATTTAAAGTTGGATTTTTATCAAGACAGAGATGAGGAAATGAAAGGATAAATAGACAGACACAGAGAGCGATCATTATGTTTGTAGTGGTAAAATTGAACAAAATGGCACTGAACAGACTGACAGAAAGATGCTAGAAGGTAGTAATAGACACACTTGAAATCTGAAACACCAAGCTGTCACAAGCAGATGCCAGACACTCTTCACAACCCTTTCCTGGTTGACCATTGAAAGTAGTAAGTACCAAATACTTTTCTTTGTAGTTTACATGTGTTCCTAGAAGTGACTTTCATGCCATGTCAGACGGACGACACAGACAGCATATTTGTCTCATCAGCTGCTCTGTCACCAACTCATTTCATGAGACTGTTTTCCTTCTAGTCTTATTATTTTCTTACCAGCATATTTCCAGGCATATTGTAAGATAATATCCATACATTTGTAAGATCCAACATTTCAGGAATCTGTATAACAAAAAGAGGTATGCAAAACCCAATTTAACAGCTTCTGTACAGGTAACACTTTGTTTCAATTTACCCTTAATATTTATTAAATTTTAAGTTATTGATCCTACATGTTCAGAACAGAAAGTGAATAAGAGCATAAATAAGAAACACACAATATTATACATATATTTTTTTTCTTTTTTCACTTTTAACAATTCGTTAGTAATATTCTTGACTTTTTCTTTTTAATCACTTTTACCCAACATCTATCTCACATTGAGAGAAAAAAGAGAAAGGTGAGCCAGAAGAGACAGACAGACAGAGAAGCGTTACAGTCAATTGTCTTGACAATAAGAGAAGCAAAAGGTGGGGGATAATAATAGAGAACAGTGGAGCTCTGTGTCGTTTGATTTCAATCTGAGATCCAATTGCTGTCTAAAGGGCAGCCCAGAGAACAAGATAAACGGATAAATGCAGACATTTTTAGCAATTATGTTTGACCCGGTGTTTGAGAAAGCTTGACAGAAGTATYACAGTACTACCCTGTGTATTACTCAATCTCTTATGTTTGTCTGACTCCTTGTACAGTATGTCCTCCATGGGCTTGCTCTGTCTTTGTGTTGCTCTGAACAAAAAAGACAATCAGCTTTACTGACCTGAGCTGAATGACAGTCTTTTGTATTGAGATTCCTTATGTCAGTTTTAAAAAGTGGACTTTCCTTAGTTGCAACTCGGCCATGTGAGTACCCCATATAATTGTGTACCCCATGTTTCACAATATGAGCACAATATTGCTCATATTGTGAAAAAAATCTCGACCCAGAAATGTGAAGCAGAAATAACTAAGTTTCTGTAGTTAAAAAATAACTAAATGAAATATATCTTATGAAATGTATTCATTTATTTATCTTTGACATTTATTAAATAGCATAAACTAACAAAATAGAAAGCTGCAATGTGTGTTGTAGCACAACAGACACAGCTGTCAAACACTGAGCTTCACATTTTGTTGTTCTGGTTTTGCAAGGTTTTTTTTTTAGATGTTTCCAAAAATAAATAATAATGCTTTAGATAAAGTTAGAAGAAAACAAACTCTACRGAATACTGAACCTAACTGCTTGTTTGCGACTTCAGTCTGTGCACTCTGAAAGGTGACATTTTAAAAATAAATGACAGATTGATTCACCATCTAAGTTAGAGGTTGTCCAAGTAGCAAAAGTTGACCCAAGTTTCACAATTAAATACCATCCAGCCATTGTCTGACACCTGTGTCTGAGTCTGGTCTGGGGGACAGGAGCTTGAGGAGGGAGGCCCAGACMTCTCCTTCCACAGCCACCTCTTACAGCTCTTTTGTGAAAAAAAAAAGCTCAAAGGCATCCAGGCCACCAGATAATTGTCTTTTCAGCATGTCCTGAGTCTTCCCCAGGGTCCTCTCCCAGTTAAAGATGCCTGAAGCACCTGAGGCATCCAAAATACCTGCTGAGARTATACAATAGGCTGCACCAATCCATGGACACCATGCCAAGTTTTGTTTTTCTAAAACCTAGACTTTAGACTTTAAATTTGAAATAATAATAAATTGGAGGAAATCACCACTCATCGTATATAAACTTGCTCTGCCCTCCAGGGATTGTATGTGATTTGATGCAGATGCCTCATTCCACAAGGCACCTTATTTAGTCAAAACATTATTCTCAGAACATCCATGTAATTTATTTATTATTGAGCAAATGGGAATGCATGATCTTTTTCAGTTTTGGTTCAGTTTATTTTAGCGTTATTTTATACTATTAGTGCACAAAAGTTAAAGCAGCCCAACAGTGGTGGACAGTAACAAAGTACTTTTACTTTATTACTGTAATTAAGTGCATTTTTGAGTATCTTTACTTTACTTGAGT